TCGCACGGAATAACAAAAAACAAACCGCCTTGCACAAGTTAAACGGACAAACGATTCCAAATAAAAAATCCTTTATATATAGCTCTTTACCCGAATTCTCCTACGAAAAAATAAAAAAAATAAAAAAAGAAAAATAAGAAATAATAAAAAAATTAAAAAAAATAAAATAAAAATTAAAAATAAAAATCAATAAATTTACCAAAAAATTAAACCAAAAAAAAAGAAAATAAAGAAGAAAAAAAGAAAATCAAAACCTTCGACCTAAAAATCAAACATTCAAATTTACACCCAATCGAAAAAAACCTTACTATCGCAAAATTAACTCCAACTAATTTCGCTAGCTTTCGTAATTAAGAATTTTAAAAATTTATATTCTATAAAATAAATAATTATTTAAACTTATATTTTTTTCACAAATATAAACATTCAATATATTATCAATATTAAATTAATATATTTTAACATAATTTAAATATATATTTAAATATAATTATACATATATTTTTAATTTCTATTTTACTTAATATCCAATTATCTATTAATATATTTATTTATACATAATATAGATTCTCAAATCAATAAACGAAAATATATTTATTATTATTATTATATATATATATTTAATATATAAATAATGTATATTTATTGTTTTTTTCCACCAAATTCACCTGTATATTTTATGTATCAATTTTTTAAATTTATAATATATGTATCGCTTTGCAAATTTTATATATTTCGCGTATTCCAGAAAAAATCATTACTACTTTCTGCCGCTCATTTAATAATATAATTTCTGTTAGAAGACACAAGCCTGCCGGCACCTTTACAAGCTTGCTCATGGGCTAAGGAGCTTCCCTTTTGAACTCTCTCATATATCGTTGGGGTATCGTTTTATGATATTGACTTTTTGTGTGTTTTATGACATCAAAGCGCTTGCAAATACACGCGCTGCGCTCACGCTACACCAAAAAGAAAACAAGCCCATTCCAAGCCAAGACAAGCGGACAAGGGCGTGCTCTTTGTTCCAGGCTGGGGCCAGCCATGAGCCAAGAGCCAAGACGCAGCCCTCCAAAAACACATCACAATCCCTAATTGCCTATGACACTTGCAAGGTTTACAAGAACAAATCAAATCATGAAATGACGCCCTTCAGACCCTTGAGCATAAATGCTCAAAAGAGTTGCTGTAGCAGGACGACATACCAAAATGAACTCAAAAAAACTCAAGGAACTAATGCATGTAACAATATCGTTTTTTTGGACGTCCCATATCGTTTTCCAAGGAAACCCCAAAATCACACTCTTGGATAAAACGACCTTAGATAAAGTAAATGACGATAATTAAAAAAACGACTTATATATCAAAAAATAACAAACATATATAGTTATAACAAAATATAACAAGTAGTAATTTTGATATCGGAAGGACAATAGGAAATAATATGGAATACTGTATAAGTTCATATAACGAAAAGGAGGAATAATATGATTTGTCCAGGTCCCTGCCTCCCATCCAGCCTTCCAACCCAGACAGGGGGGAACCTTAAAAGTTTCCAGAATATCAAACCTTCACGGTCCTCCCAACATCAATAGTGCTTCTGCGCAAACAATATAGAAAGATACAGTATAGACTCCAGACAGCTTGGAAGCATGTTCCCAAGTGAATCTGCACAAAACATCGCATGGGCTTTCCATGACCCACTGCATTGAACTGCTGGCGGCAACATGACCGCCAACACTCGAGACACGGCTACGAGGCAGACCATCGATTCCAAGCAAGTTAAGGAAAAGAATGTCCATGCGCCTGTGCACTGATGAGATTGACCAAGGAACAGTTTAAAAACAGAAAACGACGTTATGCGGGTGTGGTTTTTACGCGTTTTTGTGATTTGTGGTTTTCTGTGTTTTTTTTGAAAATGGTAGTTGTTTTGAAGAACGTGTCTAGCAAAAATGTCGACTTGTAATCTATCAAATTTCTCATCAATCTGATTCAAACGTTCTCATTGATTCCCACACAGAAGTCCATCAACCATCATCTATCAACAAATCCATGACATCCCATCATACAACATCAGGTCATCACCTCTATGAGGGAGATCTGGTCTCCAAGACCTCTAATCTCAATCAGTCCTCAATCTCCAGCAACTGGGGCCTGGGCCTGGGCTTCTCTAG